AGAGGTTAACGGATTTCACATAGCTCTAATTATGAATTATTTATGGAGGATCGATCTATATGCAGTGACTATATCAAATGGACACTTAACAGTTTAGAAGGAATTTATATCTATAATTTCGAGAGTGCAATTCTAACTTTATAGTGGAGTAACTATTAGAATTAATAGAATTAATTAATTAAAGTGTTTAATTAATTATTAATTTTATTGGAGCTCGGGATTATAGGTTCATTAGTCCCTGCGTCGTCCTAGTAATTCTACCAGACACAAAGGGCAAAATGAAAATTTTAAAATTACGGAATTCTAAAATTAAACACTCGAAAATAATTAATTGAGAATTAATTATTATTTAAATAATGTGATTATTAAAATTTAAATTTGAACATATCTAGATTTATCCATTTAAACTTATTTGATAAGTTGTTCAATTTAGAATTCAAATTAATTTAAGTTTGACTTAAATTGAAATTTGAATTTGAGTCAAAATTGGACTACAGAATAAAGGATGATTTTCTCTTCCTTCCCTATCTGCAAATTGGCGCCACACAAGGATGAGAATTCCCTAAGGTGGCCGGCCACACTAAGGATAAGGGAATGTGAGATTTTGTTTCAAATTCAAATATGAGATAATTAACAAGCTTTATCTTGGAGATAGAGATTGGATTCCTTCTAGAAGTTCGACTTCTACTCTATAAATAAGAGAATGACAGAAAATTGCGTGAGACAATTTTTGAACAATTTTATGACCTAATAAAGTATTGTGGCCGAAATTCTCTTAGTGAGGGAAGGAAAAATTTTTCTCCAAAAATTCCACATCGTGCATGTGTTGGTGTTTGTGAAAATTCGAGTGTTTATTCTAACCTGTTTTATCTCATGTGTGCCCACACACACGTCTTCGTGGATTATAAGAATTGACGTGGAAGACATTGGTTTTCTAAACACAAAGCTTTGGAGCAAGGATTGTTCGAGGTCAAAGAACTCAAGTTATCATCATAATCGGCCGCCAGGTATTATTCGTGATTGAGTTCTTAATAAATAAATTAATGAGATTAATTTATTTGTGCATAAATTAATATAATCTATAGAGTATCTCAAAAGTTTTATAAAAATTTTTGTTATACATGATCCGCCTACCGCCATGCTTCCGCATCCGAATTCGATTCGGAGACCAACATTAAATCCCTTCCAGAGTTAGCGGTTTAGATTTACAGCATGATGAGTGGATGCCAGTGGATTGAAGGCATGCGATTCGAAGTGGCTAGTTTGTTTTAAATTTATAGTTTTTAATTCTGAGATGTACTATATTTCTGTATATAAACTGTATTGGTCGACATTGTTCCAGAGTTGTACTATTTTCCTTAGATTTTATAGGTTGTTTTAAATATTGTTTGCAACAGAAAGACTCCGGAGCAATATAATTTAATATCTATTTTGGTATTTTGTATATTTTATTTTATTTTCATGGATTTTTCTTAATTAATTCAGTTTAATTAAGTTAATTTTTTTAATTATATTTCAAGAATCACGGTCTCATCTTTAGGGTCGTGACAGAGATATGTATGAGGTCTATTACAAGACTAAGATTTGAGTCACTTTGAGTTGATTTTTGTAGCCAAATGTTATAGTCATTTTTAGGAGGTGTCCTCCGCATTACTAGATTAGAGGTGAATTTATAATGTTTAATCTTGTGAGTGGTACTCATTCTTATAGTTTGGATGCACACATATTTTCTAGTCCTTTAGTGATCTTTTAATGAGATTGTCATATTTACCTTTAAAAAAAGCATTTTTCGTATTCACATTTTTTTTTTTTTTGCAGGGAAATTCCAATTTCCATGTTCCCCATTTTATATGTAATTGCATACAATGACATGAGCCTGAGTGAGATGAGTTGAGAAGCTCTCCAATGCATTATTTTCTTTTAGTCAATCCCTTGAAAAGTCAACACACTCAAAAAAAAAAAAAAAAAAAAACATAACCTGGTTCTTGTTTTCCATAAGCATACTCGGTACTTATAATTCATTTCATTCATCCACCAAACTAAACTATACTATACATATCAATTAAAGTTCTATCTCTCTCTACTTTTCCAATTGTCTCCAAACTCCACCACTTCCTTTTTTTTCTCTCAATCTCCCACCCATGAACCCGCCGTCGCCGCCGCCGCCGCCAGAATTCTATGGCGGAGCCCACGGGCAGCCATCGCCGCCGAAGCGTGAGCTGAACCTCCAAGGCCCTCGGCCGTCGCCTCTGAAAGTGAGCAAAGACTCCCACAAGATCAGGAAACCCCCACCAGTACCCCGGCCAACCCACACCCACGCCCACACAACAACGACGTCGTTTCCTTCTTCCTCCGACCAAATCCGGCACGAGCCGGTCATCATCTACACCGTCTCTCCCAAGGTCATCCACGCCACCGTCACCGATTTCATGTCCATCGTCCAGCGTCTCACCGGAGCCGCCTCCCCCTCTTCTTCCTTCTCCGGCGCCGGCGACCTCTCCCCGGCGGCGAGGCTGGCCTCCATAGAGAGAACAAGCCCCTCCGAGAGAGAAAGAGAGAGGGAAAGGGAGAGAGGCAGCGGTGAGGCTCTGATGGAAAAGGAACTGGAAGAGTTCGAGATGGGTCAGTTTCCGGGAATACTTTCGCCGGCGCCGGCCAGTTTGCCGCCGGCGATACCGCCTGGGCTCTTCTCTCCAGGGTGGGATCCGCAAAGCCTGTCGTTTTTGCAAGATCTGAGCCCCCACTGGAACAACAACAACAATTTCATGGTCAGTCCATTGGTGTCTCCGAGTCCGTCGTCGTTGGACATCTTCAATTTGTTTGACTTTAGTTAAAAAGCTTCCATTTTGGAGGCTTTAGTAGGACTTTCTTTTAGCTTTCAGACGACAACATTCACCAAAACCGACGACGACAATTCCACTCGGCCGGTTAAGATTATTTTTGGATTTTGATTTTTTTTTTTTTCGTATTGATAATGTATAATTTTCTTTAGGCCGTGTATTTTTGACCGATTTCTTTTCTTAGATGAGTGAGTTTGTAGTTTTTTCATTGTAAAACTGAAACAAAAGAAAAAAAAAAAAAAAAAGGGGGAATCTTCAAAGCGTGTGAAAGAAATCCATGTAATTACTGCTTATTTTGGTTGCGAATTGGAAATTTGCAATACTAGTGGCTACTCTCATGATCATTAGATCATTTTCATCCACCTCCATTTTCAGAGTTTTTTGTGGTAGTATTATATCAATAGACTTTTCTATTGGGGATAAATTGAGGATTTTTTATTTTGATTTTCTTTCCCAGTTTGCAAAACGGTTGAAAAGTATTTAATAGGCTTTTTCATTTTGATGTGAAACTTTAGTCCACCAGTTTGTCACATTTCTATTGCATTCTTCTATAGCGACTCAACCCAGTAACCTTTAACGTGCAAGAAAATTTTTTATTTTAATAATTTATTTATTTATTTTGGTGAATAACGTGTAAGAAAGTTGAACTTTCGGGAAATACAACCGTGTAACTGTATCAGCGACAGAGGGAAATTATCTTTACCAAAAGTACGTAACAAATCATATTTTGCTTTGTAAACCCTTTTGTTCATAATAATTGTCTCGTATATTAAGAGGACGTTTGGTTGGATGATTTAAACTATGTGATTCAAATTATTTTTAATTTACGTGAATTTTTTATGAGAGAAAATACTATAGCGAACCACAAATTATGATTCGAATCAAGGAACGAATCCCTCTACCAAACATCCCCTAAAATTCTCATAAACCAATTACTGGTACTTAGGGGGCGTTTGGTAGAGAGATTTGTTCCCTGATTCGAATTATGATTCGTGATTCGCTATAGTATTTTCTCTCATAAAAAATGCACTTAAATTGAAAATGATTTGAATCACATAGTTTGAATCCTCCAACCAAACGAACCCTTATAGATGTCATCCTTGCCTGTCAAACTTTAGATTCACTTAACAGGAAAGCTTAATAAATAAAAGTAATTTCCAAATAAATGAATAAAGTAAGGGATAAAGAGGAAAATAGTATAATTAGTAAAGTGATTAGTAAATTATAATATATATTTTTAAAAATGATAAATTATAATATATATTTTTAAAAATAATAAATTATATTATAATTTGATATTTTAAGTTTTAAACATTATTAAAAATTTAAAAATACTCTTAAATCTCTTTTTTCACCTCACTCCTCTCTTTAAACATTTATTTTTTTAAAAAATAATAAATTATAGCATATTTTTAAAATAGGTAAATTACAGTCAAGTTCACTATAGTCGGACCGGCAGCCAACCCCGGTGATTAGCTCCGACAACTGGCGACCATTTTCCGGTGGCCAGTGACCGTTTTCCTCTAACTGTTTTCTGACGACCGTTTAACACTGTATTTACTAATAAACATCGTATTTTTCATTTAATACCATATTTATTAGTAAATATCATATTTACTCGAAAAACTAACCACCGACTCTAGTGACAACGCTGTATTTATAGGTAAATACCGTATTTTACCACTAAATAATGTATTTACTAATAAATATCATATTTATCAAAAAATTCAATACCGACCCCGACAACCATTTAATATTATATTTACCGATAAATATTATATTTATTAGTAAATATGAATTTATCTAAAAATTCAACCACTAACTCCAGCAACCGTTTAGCATTATATTTATCAATAATACTATATTTATCAATAAATATCGTATTTACTAATAAATATCATATTTATTAAAAAAATTAACTACCCAATGTAATGACTATTTATCGATAAATATCCCAATTCTTAATTATAACTTGTAAAATATTTACAGTTAAATACAAAATAAAATTCTAAAAACTTGTAAAGTGTTTACAGGTAAATACAAAATAAAATCCCAAAAACTCTCAAATCAAACCCTATCCACAACCAAATCCTAACACGAAAATCATATACCCCTGCTGGCGGCCGCCAAACCTACAGCCGGCATTCCGCCGCCACACCGACGACCACCCCAACAACATCGCCCCCGGAAACCTACATGGCATAGGAAACAAATCTCAGACAAAACAAATTGCAGAAAACAAAATCACGGGGAACATTATCGTCATCAGATCAGAGGCAAGATCTCCGACGGCTAATCGTTGAAGACGGACGAGAGCTGCTCCGACGAGTCGCTGGCGCAGACAAGCAGAGCTGCTTCGAGGAGAGAGAGTGCGAGAGAGATGAGATGTCGATATAATCGTCGCTGGAGAAGATGATCGGCGTCACGACTCGGGAATCGGCGCCGGAGACGAAGACTGACCTCCACATATCGCGATTTGGCCGGATTTGTTTGCGATCTGGTTGGGTTTGGTTGGAGAAAGAGATGTGGGAATCATGAAGTGTCACCCATGCCAAAGAGCTTCGACGTGGGATCGGGGAGAGAGAAGATGATATGAGAAAGAAGATGAGACAGAGAGAGTTAGAGAGTGAGAGGTGAACGGCAACATAGAGAGGGAGAGAGAAAGGGTTGTGAGGAAAAAAATGAAACCCTAACTATTAAGGATTTGTGTCATAATTCGAAGTCTGGTTAAGAATTTGTGTTATAGTTTAAATCATAGTTTGTGACTCGATATAATATTTTTTCTTATAAAAAATATACATAAATTAAGAATAATTTTGAATTATAATTCTAAATTTATCAACTAAACGTCCTCATAAAAAAATAATTTTAAAAGAAAAAAAACACTTTATTTTAGAATTAAAATTCAAACATACTATAATTTAAGATGTTTTTATAAATATGCTATTTTCTTCAAAAGTATGAATGAAATATGCCAGTTAGTGCAATTTCTCATAAAGTAATGACTTTTTTTTTTTGTTTTTGCAGTTGGGCGTCATAACAATAAAATACATGCCGGTAGGGCTCAGTTTAAACAATTTGATCTACATCTATTATCTAGTTCTTAATTTTCATGTTGATGTATTTTTGATAAAATGTAATGTTCAAAAACAATATTAGGGCCATAAAAAGCTCCATTAACAAAAATTATAAGAACTATAAATTTTCCACTCTTATCCTTAAGTTTTAAATTAAAAACTCAAAGATATCAGCATTTCCTCTAAATAATTACAATTGAGCCTGAATGGAAATGGAAAAGAAAGAAAGAAAAAAAAAAAAAAAAAACTGAATTTCAAGGTCCAATAGATGGTGTTTTTAGAGGGCACAATTACAAAACAAACGTCAATGTTTTGGAGTCAGTCTTAAAATAGGCAAAAGCAAATAAATAGCGTTGTAGTTGAAGATAAAGACGAAACCATGGTCGGCTACATTACATTATCATTAAGGAAACTGGAAAGTATAATACTATTCCCCATCGGTCCATTTAATACCCACCTTTTGTGGCAGCATTTTCTCCATGGCCTCCTCAACTTAATTATGACCAACATTTACCAAATACGCCTGACTGAATAATAAAATATCCATGTTGTGAGTTGGCACAACCCCACAAGTTGCTGTTAGTCAAAGCGTGTGCACTTTTAGTGGGGAATGATACAAAATAACAACCTCTTGAATTAAATATCTTATTTATTAGGATGAGATATAGCAGGACAAATAAATAAATAAATAAATCCAGAAAATGGAATTATTTACCAAAGTTTTAAGGAAAACTGATTAAAGAAGAAAAACAAACATCTAAGTCCAATGTTGAATGTTCCTCAAGGATTTATTTACAGATTACTAATTTTCAGATGCAAGGAAACTCACCCCTATAGCCTCAGTAGTGAACTAACCACACTTTTGCTTTGCAATCTCAAAAAAATTCAAGTATGTCATGTCCTTGCCACTGTTGAATTCCATGTTCCTCCAATCAAAGTGCCAACCTTCTCTCCCTTTATCGCTCTTGAGATGTTACCTGGTTTGTTTAGGTTGAAGACGACAACTGCATCCGTGGAAACGAAACTCGGGAAATAAATGAATATTCTAGTATCCGAGGAGAAAGCTTATGAATAAGAAATACCAATATCAATCTATATAGAAATAATATTAAAATTCGTCTGAACCTACCGGGAATGTTATTTTCCTGGCACAGAGTAATTGCAGTCATGTCCATCACTGAAAGTTCTTTTGAAGTCACTTCGTGGTATGTCAAAGTATCGAGAAGACGAGCGTCTGGGTTACGCTTTGGATTGTCGTCGTAGACCCCATCAACATTTGTAGCTTTCAGAACAACTTCAGCATTAACTGGGTCAACAATTGAGTCATCATAATTAGTTCAAAGCAAAGGGATTATTTTAACAACGCATTGTTCAACACCATGCAGCAACAAGGACTAGCTTTTATGATAAGCAGGCTACACTGTGCCAGAAAACCTAATAGGTTTAAGCGATCAATTAGATATAAAATGTGATTTTTGTTCAAAAATTCTGGAATCTCCCCATGAACATATGGAAAAAAAATAATAATAAAAAATAAAAAAAAAACCTTCATTGACATTATAATAGATATCACAAAGACTCCTTCGGCAAGGAAGTACCCATAAAATACAACTGAACTTACTCTCTGCACAACGAAGAGCTGCAGCAGTATCTGTGGTGAAAAAGGGATTTCCAGTCCCCGCTGCGAAAATTACTACCCTCCCTTTCTCCAAATGCCTCACGGCCCTTCGTCGTATATAAGGCTCTGCAACCTCAGACATTCTGAATGCAGTCTGTACTCGAGTTGGGATGCCAATACTCTCCATTGTCGCTTGAAGAAATATCGCATTCATGACAGTAGCCAACATCCTGTAAATAAGCGCATCGAGTATCAATTAAAGTAATAAGGACTCGGATGCGTGCAATAGATTTTTACTTTCCCAAATTTGTGTGTTCTGAATAGCACCAATATTTAAGGTCCATCCACAAAGCAACCATAATTCTGTAAAGGTATCATTATAGGATTCATTAATGTCTCCGTCCTCTTATATACATAGCTAAAACTAGAGGAAAATGTAAAAAAATTGTATTATATATTGAATGAGTTATGATAGTATGTGTGTGTGTGTATATATATATATATATATATTCTGCATCTGTGAGGTCAAACTGCAATTATACAATCCAGATATAAAAAATACCCAATGTAGTCAGCTGATGAACGGTCCAGACCACTACTTCCAGCCCATGAGGATCCACGAAAGATATTTCCTCCACCAACCACAATTGCAACCTGAAGCATTTGTGAGAGATAATTCATACCTTCATAAAAGCCCAAACACTGAGCAGCTTGGGTCTGATTCACATGTTAGTAGATGATAAGAACGTTGTCCAAATTTCCAGATTATTTATGCAATTTCTTACCTCAATGCCAAGGCGAGTAACGGCCGCTACCTCTCTTGCGATTGCCATTGTGATCTATATTGTTGTAGAAAAACGTCAAACAACAAGTAAAGGAAAAACACGTAAGCATAGAGATCGATAAATGCATGGAAAGCTGACCTTTGGGTCGATATTCTGCAACTGATCCCCAGCAAGTGCTTCTCCACTTACTTTAAGTAACACCCTTTGCCATTTATGAGACGGTCTCGACAAGCCACCTTCGTTCATCGTCACTCCAAACGGCGCCATGGATGACATCTGAGCCGGGTGCCTGTTAGAAATTACACATACAGTAGTTAACAACAAGGTATGGTTATTAGTCTACAGCTACAAGATTGGATGATTTCCTATGTTTTCCTGGGAAGAAGAGTTTTACTTATGACAGCAAATTCAAAATTAGCTCAGGGGAAAAAAGTAGGACAGAAAATGCTAAATAAAGGGTTGCAGCATTAATCGCCAAAGAAGAAGCATGTGCAAGGATCTCATCTCTTTGATGTGTAGTTTACCCAAAAGACTTACAAAACTCACACTTAGGAAACTCTGTCCCCCCTAACTATTACAACTATTACACACATACTAACACAGAGGCAAGGCATATCATTATAACTACAAAAGCTCCAGCCGTATTGTACGCTACATAGTCGTTTACAATCCACAGAGACATTTATACAAACAGCTACTAGGCACGGCACGATGTATTCACAGCTCAGAGAGAAAGAACCAAACAAAATATATATATATATATATATATACATATATCAGAAAAGTTATATTATATGGAGAATAAGAAGGATTGAGCAGAAATACCTTAGTCTGATGGTGTCAGAGTTGTCCGAAGAAGAAGACGAAGAAGAGCAAAGAAGTAAGCGGCTACGTTGGGACGAAGTTAAAGCATGTGAAAAGGCATTTGGAGAAGAACCACCCAGAAATGGTTTTTGTTTTGAAAACGGAGAAGAACAACAACTAGTTATGGAATTCAAGCACACAAACGACGCCATCACTATTACACAAAGACGAGACTACTTATTTGAAAGCAAATAGCAAATAGCAAATTGCAAATTGCAAATTGCAAAGAAGAAGATAATTCTTATTTGATTTTTCTTTTTCTTTTTCATAGAGAAAAAAAAAATCCCTTTTAAATAAAACAAATATCACGTGTCAAGTGTTAAACCTAAAGTTGTTATTTGATGATTCTAATTTTACTTCTCTTTACATCACTATTTAATAATGTGCTCCGTACGCGTATTTATCATGTAAAAAACACCTTAGTGGTATATTATATATTGCATAATAATAAATTTATTTATATACGAATTTAAGCATCTAATGTTTATTTTAATATTTATTTTTTTGAAAATAAATGGTTTTGATTTTATACGCTTGGGCAGTATAACAATTATGACGAAAATTACTTAATAATATGTGTGAGGAAATAGTATTTGAGAGGGCCGCAAGAAATAAACATTTAAGTAAGATAATTATTTGCTTGAAAAGTAGGTAATTATGAGAAAATTTGAGATAAATGGGTATTTATGAAAAATAATAGTTAAAAAAAGTTATTTGAAATGTTAAAAAGTGACATGTTTAAGAAAAATGGTTTTCCAAGGATCTCTACTCATATTATAAGGATTAGACTGGAAAAAGAATTAAAGTAAAGGTACAATTGAGTAATTATTTTAATAGAAACAAAGAGGGAAAAAAAGTATTTTTTTTTTTTTTGTTTAAAAAGATTATCTTGCAGTAACGAAACTGTAGAGAAATTTTTGGTAAAACAAAAAAAAATCACAAAAGGTAAAATAATAAAATAATAAAAGAGTGGAGCTGAAACTTGACAAGTGGAGAAGGGTTAGTAGAAATGGGCTTTGGTTCTTATGTATATAAAGAGAAAAAATAAATTTAAAGATATAACGGTAGAAGTAATAAATATGGTAAGTGGCTGTGTGATATATAAAGTGTAACATTTTTCATTAACTTTTTTTTTTATCATGATAACACTGATGCAAGTGTAATATAAGATGATCTCTAATGTAAATATTAATATTAATGGTATATTTAATATTAAAAAGTGTGTAAAATGGTATGTTATTTTTATTTTTATTTCAATGTATAATGCTATTTAAAATGTTAAATTTACTTTTTTCTCCTAATTATTAAGCTTTAAAAGTTATAAAAATAAATTTTTATTTTTAAAATAATTAGAAGATACAAAAGTTACAATAATTACATGAAAAAATAAATGTTTAAACCAATAACAATCAAATGCCTAATTTCTTATATGATATATTGGGTGGGAAATTTACCATAAAATATAGCACATGAAGAAATTGGCATAATAAATAACATTGCATTGGATAGTATTTTTTACACTTAAATATTAAATTTATAATTAGCACATTAATTATAGCATTGCATTGGAGATACTTAACATGCTAAGTGACTACATTTTATTGAGTATTACACTTGAACAAAATAAAAGATACACGAATGTACAAATGATGTTATATTTAATGAACAAAATGTTAAAACTGCCCAAATACATTGACAAACAAAAATGTTACAACTGCCCGAGTGGTACGACCGCTTGATTTTTTAAGGATTCCAAAACGCTGTAGTTTTTAAGTTGTTTCGTTATTTGTATTTTTACTTATGTTGTTCGCGCAGCGTTTCCTTTACTAATAATTAACTCACTTCTTGGGGTAGCTAAACCAATTTATTGATTTAAATGGGCTAATAGCACAAAAGTTCTGAATTTTGAAGTTTGTTACAACTTTAATACCCGAATTAATTTTGTAAACAGAAATCTTCATGAATAAACATTTTAGGGCATGTTGGCATTATTTTTAGAGACTGCTCTTAGTTTTAATTTATTTTAAGAAGTTACAGCACGTTAGAGTTTTTAATAAAACCAATTTTTATTCAGCAGTTTCTAAAAACTATTGTCCTACAATAAAATTTGAGAAGCAAATCATAAGGTATTTTTTCAAAGCAGCTTCTGCTGTAATTATCTAAATTTACTAAAATAACCATAATAATAAAACCTAATTCTCTATCAACACATTTTATTTCTTCCAAATCAAATTAAAGGATATATTTTATTTTAAATGTTTATTTGAAACTTAAAAATCTTTAATAAATATCTTATGCTAAATTTTAATAGTATATTTTTATTGTAATGTTGCAAGTTTAAAAAATAATTTACCTTTATGTTCTTTATGTTATTTGATTACTTTATAGATATATAACTTATCTCGTTGAATAAAACTAATTTTTTTAGAAATATTTTAATTAGTAAAATGTGTTTTTAGTATTTTGGTGTATAAATATTATGAATATTGACTATACAAATAGAAATAAAACTAATTATAAGTATATGTGTTAAATTATGTGTATTTTAATTATTATACATCTTCACAATAATTTTATACATAATTTATTAAACACTTAAATTTATGTATTCACAGCAACTTAAAAAAAAAAAAAAAAAGATTATCAAACACTTATATATTTTTGGTCACAAGAGCAATGCGGAATTAGCTCTTAATGGCTTTTCAATAAAGAGAAAAAAGAAAAAAAAAATTTTAACAGCAGCAGCAGAGATGTTTAAATTTTGTTAAAATTCTGTTGAATTTTAAAATTCAAGGTGGTAGGTTAGTTTTTTTAATGGTGACAATCACAATTAAATAACCCTCAAAAGTCTCCCAAAAATAGAAATAGAAATAAAAATTGGTAAAAGAATCAAAGCCGCCGATCAAGTAATACACATACATTAATCTTCTTATAACCCGAACATACCCAAAACCACAGTCGGAAACAGCAACCCATTAATCTTCTTATATTTTACTTTTTTTATTTTTTTATTTTTTTATTTTATAAATAAATCTTCTCGTCGTTCCAATTCTGAAGTCTAAGGAACTATTCCATCCAATTCATGGAAGAAAAAGAAGTTGAAGAAGAGGAGGAGGAGGAGAGAATATTTGAAAATTCGATGAAAGAAGAAGAGGAAGAGGTTCGTGCTGAGTCCTGGGCTCCGAACACTCCGGAAAAATCAAAGCCGAAGCCAAATCCAAAGCCCAAGCCCAAGCTGATAAGATATTTCAGAAAGCGTTTCCATAATAAAAACAACAACAGCATTGATCATAATTGCATACCAATCACAGAGAAAGAGAAAGAGAAAGAAGATGATAGAGTTTTGGGCTTACCGGATTTGAAGAAAATCCAAGAATGGGATCATGGTGCCGACGTGGAATGTTTTTCTGATTGTAAACAATGTTGTTCATCTCAGTTTAATAACAATAATAATGTCAGTGCTGCTGATTCAGAGTTGAAAACATCAACATCTTCTTCACACTCACCAGCTGTGGTGGTGCCTCCTTCAACCCCATTCTCATCTCCCAATTTTCCAACATCTCCAGGTTCACTTCTTTGTTATTATCTCCAGGTTCAATTTTCCAATATATATGAAAGAATTGCAATGTAATGCGTTTGTATTTCTGTAGGATATGAAAAAAGTCCCCAGAAGGAAGCCGAAGAGATCAGTCTTAATGATAAGGAGAAGGAAAACCATATTGGTATTCCCAATTTGCCTTCAACACCTCCGTCAAATACTAATTCCAAGAAAAGAAAACAATATCACTTTGACTGCAACAAAAGCCCGCAGAAGAAAACCAGAAAGAAGATGTACAGGCCAAAAGTTATCGGTCAACCCAAACCAAAGCCTACTCCGAAAGGCGCAACCTCAAAGCGTGCTTCAAGGCGTGTTTCGTCAAAGAAAACTGTGTCAGGAACCGAAAAGAATGCGAGCAACGCCTGCAAAGCCTCGGTTAGTATTGCTACCTCGGAAGAGCAAGCGATGAATGCGCCATGCAGACGAAGACTAATCTTTGACGTGGAGAAGAATTCAGAAGAGAAATATGGAATTATTGGTCTTCTGGAAGAAGCTAAGACTAGTCCCTCCATTTTGGAAAGCAGGGATGGTACTCAAATTCAAGTAGATCATAAAGAAAATGTGTGTCAAACAGGTTGCGAAGACAATTTTATTCAGGTGACATCACAGAGAATAGATCGATCTAGCGACTGTCACGACGCGATCATGAAGATAAGCATAAATTTTCCAATCTTCTGCAAGAGAAAAAGGACCGTGAGGAGGAGAATTAAGTTGGACAATCGAAAGAAAATCTTTAAGCTTAGAAAGGGTAGAAACCAGAGAAAAAGAACGCATCTGCGTAATGGCATAACGAACAACCGAGCTCTAATCGATAGGTTGCCATCAGTGGTTAAGACAAAAAAGAAGAGATCAAAGAGGTGTACTCCTAGAAAGGAGCTGGCTAGTATAACCGAAATCGCATTCTTCAAACGTTACCCCGGAGAAATGCCTGTTCTTCAAACACAAGAAAGCAACAACTGTTGGGGGCCTCATGAGATGAAAAGGGATGCTTTGTCTGTTGGTGGGAATGAAGGAATGATTATAGAAGAAAAGAGCAACTTAGAGCTTAACAACAATAAAAGTGAAGAAAGGCATGAGACCTCAATTGGGACTTTTCCTACTGTTGCTAATTTAGAGCTCAAAAGCAGCCAGAGTGAAGGACGTCCACCGCAGCTTTTGTATTTTTCATTCACCCCCGAATTAAGAGGTAATTTCCTTTAATAATAAGAAAATAGCATATTATATTTCCTTTTCTATAATTGGAGGGTGGTTTTTTCTTTTTCCTTCCTTAAATGGTAATGAAAAGGGTATTAAATATTTTTGAAACGTAGTTTTTTTTAGTCGTGGAGTATATTTTCTCTTCAAGAAGCTTGTGTTACTCAAATCAGTTCCAAACTACTTAAAAGAGCTCAAAACTATGTTCTTGTTTGTAGAAATTGCAGAAGGAATGAGGAGAAGTTCTGCTGAGATGGAGCCGAATTTTATTGATTTGAATCTTCACCATGGAAAAAGTGAAAGAAGCCTTGGAGAGCATGAGGGCTCCTTGATGACCATCCAATCAAGAGGAACCATTCTTCGGCTTTAAACACTTTTTTTTTTTTTTTTTGCCACGCCAAAAACTGCAATATAAAGAACTAAATATTTATTTTCTTTGTTATCCAATGCAGATCTGGCTGAAGAGGGAGTCATTGTCATTTCCCAGATACCCGGATGTTCAAATAACAGCTATGCACAAAATTTTGCTCAAAATGGGCATGGCATGATGGTTCCTTATCAAGGAAAAGACCAAAATGCAGATGTTCCTCATAATGAGCATTGCACAATAGTTCCATGTGGAAAACTCCCAGATGAAGTCCAGAATGAAAGTCTAAATGTTCCTCATACTGAGAATGGCGTTCTCGTTCCTGTTCATCAGGGACAACTTTCTGTTATCAAGAAAACGAAGAAACACGCCGCGCTTGAAATTTACTCTGAGGATATCAAAGCTTGGAGGCTTCAATTGAAAAGCATTACCAGTGTAGATGAAGAAAAATTGGATGAAGAAACAAAGAAAAGGTTGGAGAGTGAAAGAATCTTGTTTTACTGTCGCCTTCAAGCGTTTACTGCTTGCATGCATGCAATTCAAGGTATGACCATATCCTTACAAGTAATTGGAAAATAAATAAGTAACTTTTTAGTATGTGTATTATTTGCTTCGTAATCAAGAAAGAATATGAGTGCATAGATAGTAAGCATCATAGAATTAAAGGTAGAATCTATACCAAAAAAAAAAAAAAAAGTCGGGTTTCTAAAAGCGGTTATTTTTATCTGAGCAGGGGATAGGCGGTTTTCACCATGGAAAGGTTCTGTAGTGGACTCTGTAGTTGGAGTTTTTCTAACTCAGAATGTGTCGGACAATCTTTCAAGGTAATGTTTGAATGAATTTTTGTTCTGTATTGATCATAAAAGCTGTTTAGAAATTGTCTACTCTTGTTCCCTACAGCTCTGCCTTTATGTCCCTTGCTGCCAAATTCCCAGCTCAATCAAATAAACACGAGGACCATGTTACGCTTGAAATCCAAGAATCGACTGCAAGTAATACAGAATGTAGTTTGCCAGCAAATCATTTAGTAGGTCCAGAACTACTCTCAAGAGAAGGCGCAACAAAAGATACTAACGACATAGAGGATGCTGCAATGGAAACTCAAGAAACAACATTATTTGGTCCACTTCCACTGAGCAACTCATGTTTGGTCTCAGACAGCAACTTAGGAGACAACAAGCCTAAGAGCTCAGTTGATGAGACATCAGAAAAAGAGAAAAGATCCAAGGCAAAAGAACAACAGCCCAGCGAGAGAGAAAAGACGGATGGGAAGAAGAAAAAGAAAGAAAATGAAATTGATTGGGACGAACTAAGGAGGACATGGAATAGAAATGGAGAAAGGAACAACGACCACAAGGATTCTGTTAACTGGGAGGCCGTTAGGCGTGCACACGCTAGCGAGATTGCGGATGCTATCAAAGCACGCGGCCAACATAATATCATTGCAGATCGAATCAAGGTATAAGACACTAGATACTAGATTCTGTGGGCACATTATAGTTTTGACGATTAATATGGCAATAAAATTTTGCAGGAGTTTCTTGATCGAGTAGTTAAACTGAATGGAAACATTGACCTCGAATGGTTAAGACATGCCCCTTCTGACAAAGTAAAGTAAGCATAAAGTTACTCTTTAGCGTGTAGAGTCTGTATTGAGTATGACCATCAAAACGATTCTATTATCTGTCCACTCACGTTAGTTGTGCTAAACTTGTGATGCTTGCGTATTCAATAATATTTGCTCTCAGAGAATACCTATTAGACTTTAATGGACTTGGTTTGAAAAGTGTGGAGTGTATACGACTTCTTGGCCTTCAGCATGTAGCTTTCCCGGTACGGAGTACCCAAATATCATATAACTTACCATATGTGAGGTTTGTGCATTCATATACTTAATTATTTGTTCTTTTCTTTTAGGTGGACACAAATGTTGGGCGTATCGCGATTCGTCTAGGGTGGGTTCCTCTTGAGCCATTGCCTGAAGAGCTTCACATACATCTGTTACAACAGTAAGTATAATGAATAGACTTGAAGAGGCATAACATTATTTTCCCTGAGACTGAAAATTTATCTCACTTTTCCTGCAGGTATCCAATTATGGATTCAATCCAGAAATATCTCTGGCCACGATTAAGTTCTTTGGACCAGAAAACTCTGTAATCCAATATTCTTCCATGAGATCTATTTTTGTTTGATGAATACCCTGTGCATTTGGTATATATCACAATTTTTAAAGCAATCTACACAAAGGCTCATTCTTTCTTTTTTGGAAATACAGATATGAACTACATTATCAGCTGATAACGTTTGGAAAGGTACAAAGTCAAACTCTCTTCAAATATTCTTCTCAAGCATAAGAACTTGAGAGCTTTAGATTAGAACTTCAAGAAACTTTTTGCAGGTTTATTGTACAAAGAGAAATCCAAACTGCAATTCTTGTCCAATGAAAGGGGACTGCAGGCATTTTGCTAGTGCATATGCAAGGTACGTATCCTCATGACGGGGTTAGACTTATGAGAAGTGCTTCGAGCATTTGATCATCCTAGATATGAAATGATTTTGATGTATATTTTTGCTGCAGTGCAAGACGTGCTTTACCAGGGCCAGCAAATAAAGACAAATCAAGTTCACAAGCTCCATCAGGTCTGGCTATAAAGGAAGTAACAACATCCATTATTGAGCCCGAGCTATCTTCAGGATCAGAATATCAGGCAAAACAGTGTGAACCTATCATCGAAGAGCCCGTATCGCCAAAGCCTGTAAATGCGGAATTATTGGAAAGAGACATTGAAGATTTTGTTGTTGAAGATGATCCCGATGAAATTCCAACAATCAGACTCGATGGTGGAGAGTTCGCAAGTAATCTAGAATGCCTCTGCAGAGAAATGAAGTACATGGAACTTCAAGAGAATGAAGTATCAAGAGCTCTAGTTGCTTTGTCACCACAAGTTTCTATTTGGCCCACTCCCAAACTGAAGCATGTTAGCCGCTTAAGGACAAAGCACCTAGTGTAAGTAAACCTTTCAGAACAGAGTGCACAATATCTTAGAACAACTTTCACACATAAATTAAGAAAAGGAAAAAAAAAAAAAAAGAAACGAAAATATTACACGATTATACTTCATAACCCATGCTCTATTTGGAGGGCTTTTTCAGTTTAAGTCAATGCGATCCAAATGAAATGAGATACCGAAGTTTAGCTGGCAACTATTTTCGTTAGACCAGGTTGTGAAGGATACTTTTGAGGACTTGAGTTTTCATGAATGGCTTAAAACTTGGCAAATTCCTCTTATAAGGGGAAGGATATGTGACACACGAGTTAGATGTGACTTGATTAATAATTGGTGATATATCAAGTTCTTCAGTAAAGTTAAATTATTTTCTTCATCATGCTTGAATAGTTTTTGTGAGAAAATGTTTGTGGAAATCAAAAGGAGAATATTTAGCATTTTTTCCATAATTTTCTTAATGACTATATAAGCCTTAATATAACAGTAGTAAAGTCCTAATAATTGCATTGCACTCCCAATTTTCATGCAGATATGAACTTCCAGATTCACATCCTCTCTTAAAAGAGGTAAGTCTTTTTTTTTTTTTTTAGCACGAAACTAGTTGTTTCTGTAATAATTCTTTTAACCTGGTTTCTAAACATACAAATTTTGCAGCTAGACAGACGAGAGCCTGATGATCCATCCCCATATCTTCTAGCCATTTGGACTCCAGGTACATCATGGCTTAAAAGAATATACATAGTGCTAAAATCTCCATAAACAGTTTTTTTTCCCCGATAAATCACTCGAAAGTCGAATATCTCATCAGGAAAATGGGATGTTGTGATTGTATGAGTTTGGTAATCACATTTTTGTGTCGATTTGTTACAAGGTGAAACTGCAAGCTCATTTGAACCATCCGAGAAACTATGCAGTTCCCATGAGTTTGGAAGCCCCTGCAATGAGGAAACATGCTCAGCATGCAACATTCTTCGAGAACAAAATGCCAATACAGTTCGAGGAACAATTTTGGTGAGTTGAAAAAAGAAAATTATATCTATCCATCCTTATGCAATGTAACTTCATTTTTCAAATTAATATGCAAAATGATAACGTGTAAATTAATGTTCAAATAGATACCGTGTCGAACAGCAATGAGGGGAAGCTTCCCACTTAATGGAACATACTTCCAACATAATGAGGTAAATTTATTCAAACATTTTACTCTCCTAAATCGTTTCATTTTTTTTTTTTTTTTGGTTGTGTGAAAAAAGCAAGTGAGGTGGAAAAATTCTGATTCTTATGCAGGTATTTGCTGACCATAAGTCTAGTGAACATCCAATTGATGTTCCTAGAGAATGGCTATGGAATCTACAAAGGCGAATTGCTTACTTTGGCACCTCAACAACTGCAATTTTTAGAGGTAAATAAATAATCCCAAATTCATGATATAAATTATCAAAAAGAAAGTAAAATACATTGTTATCGAGTCGTTAAAGTTATGGATCAGGGAAGTAACTTGTTATGTTTAGCATTTTCCTTTCGAAATATATACGAGTGCACATACATAAGAACAAATCATAAATAACTCGGCGAAAATTTTCTAAAAATCAGTTCCCATGTCAACGCAGGGTTGTTGACAGATGAAATTCGGTACTGCTTTTGGAAAGGTACGTAGTTCCAATATCCCAACCAAAAATAACTGAACTTGCACTTGTACAGAAGTATACTCTGCAAGTTTCACCAAAACCAGTCTTCTTGTGTGTTGTACCATGAATGTAACATAGTTTTAATTACAATACAACACAATGTCATAGGATATTCTTCAAAACATTTAACACACAACTTTTGCAAGAAAAATAAATAGAATCCAGGACGTTAAGAAACTTTACAAAAAGAAAAAGAAAAAATAAAATAAAATGAAACTATGTTAATCTTTGTGTGCAGGATTTGTTTGTGTGAGGGCATTTGACAGAGAAACACGCACTCCTAAGCGCCTTGCGCATCGACTCCACATATCAACTACTAGCCAAGCTGGGAAGCCGAAGACCAAAACAATGGACGATGAGTAGCACTTGCATTTCACATGTTGTGCAGCATTATGTCTATTATGTACATACATAAATTATTCGTTCATTCATTTAGTTATATTCTCAGAAGGAACGTTACTGATCAAAGAGTTCAGTTGATGGAGATCATAGTTAAGAGTTCTTTTAGGAGTTAAAGAGTTATTTTATGTTACTTTATTTCATGTTTATCTTTCAGGATTATTTAGGTTTTGTTCTTCAGGTTTTGATTATCAATTGAAAGCACATATTTCCTCCCTATTACTCGCTCTTACTACCCCACCCCTCCTTTTTTTTTTTTTTTTTTTTTTTTTTTTTTTTCTTTTTTTCCATCTGATAAAGGTGAGAGAGTTTTGTGGCCAGAGAAGTGATTACCGAGTAAAAGTTTCTTGAAGATCTGTTATACGACAATTAAACTAAATGGCCAGATGTCAGCTAGCACAACTCACATAAAAAAAGCAACATTTTCTTTTGTAAATTGTATTTGTTTTCTATATTGTCATATACATTAAAGTATTATTCACAAGAATAGGGAGAAAAGGAAAAAATAAAATAAAAAATAAAAAAAAACTGCAGTCCTGCCTCCTTAGCAGGACCAGACAACCTAAAATTTCATGGACAAGTATGACGATGTACAGACATGTGAAGCAAAGAAAAATGTCGACGAGGTGAAGCAATAGTGTTAAAGCCTGATGGGCAGTCCGTAGTTGTGGAATGTCCTGATCGTTCCATCGAATCCAGCTGCTACAATCACAAGCCCCCATGTCTCCGAAATGGAAGTGGTGTTATGATTTTGGCCTTGGGCAGTTGATAGTTCCCACAGAGGAAGCTTTTCCTCCGGCCAAGTTGCAGACCCCATGGAGAAGCAGCCGCCGAGAGAAAAACGTTCCGACTCTCTGGTCCAGGAAGCGGCCTCCAGGTGTTCCTGTGCTCGCATGGAACTGGCATTGCTTAAGCTCCCTCCTTCTGTTTCCATTCCCGACCAACGAACAGATTTTGTTTGTTTTGAAGGGGGGAAGGATGAGGCATCGTGGTTCCAGATGTAAACACGGGAGTCCTCTCCGAGCGAGATTATATGCCTCTCGCAAGACGTAAACGAAGCCGACATTTGACTTCCTGACTTTCCAAGACCTGACACAAGAACAAGATCAACTAATTTAGACTAGTTTTGCTTATTATTTACTTTATTTCAGAAAATATAGATTCACTGTATGTGAGAAAGCCATACTGACTACTAATAAACTATAAATGGACACAACACCCCAAAATAAACTATTAGATGCAGTGCATGTTCTGGATGGATGGCAAAATTCAGAGCAGGTACATTGTTTTGTTACTCTCTTTACGATTGTATTTGTTAATTCAAGTAAAAGTTTTGACTTTCTTAAGAGAAACACCACGTGCTGTCAAAACATATTTTACTGCTATAGAGGCCCATTCTTCTTTTGAATATTGCACTACTTCGCTAACCAAGAGTCCCAAAGAAGAAAACAAGATATTAGAAAACAGTTCTGAGATTTGAAATAGTTGAAATGATTTGATGCTATAGTGCCACGGATTTGAAATAATTTTCCTTTTGGGTAAAAATTATGTATACTCCGGACGTACGCGTTGCAATCAAGTACACATAGATCAATATGGCTGGAAATGAAAAGCTAGCGAATATCTATATCGAAAGGAAATACCTAGCAGTTTCCCAGAAAGAAAGAGAGAGACAAAAACAAAAAAAACAAAAAAAAGAGTTCACTTTGTGATCCAAGGTTCTCACCTTTGTATTTGTAAGTGAGATCAACCCCATCAAACATGCGAAGTTTCGAGTCTTCTGATGAAATCATGACTCTTTGAGATTTTCCCCGAGAGAACTGCAATATGACAGACAAATGGATTTCTATGTCAACGACAGATGTTTGTTTAGAAGATGTAATACATCAAAAGTAGTTGGTTAGATTGACAAGTTTTAGTTTTCAAAACAAGCAAGAGCTTCGATATACACACCTTGATGCCGGTGATTTTATTGCCTGCACTTTTCTTTCTGCCAGGAATATGAATCCGTGCTTCCAGGACGAGACCTTCACCTGCACCGCAACGACACAACTTTAGGGCACTTCTTCTAGATACGAGGATCACTAGCAATACTTGAAAAACAAACTTGGAAAATTTGAGGAGGAAGTACCTGATACTTTGTAGGAACGGCAAGTGCCCGTGATGGAGCCAACTATGAAGCCCTGCTCGATATACAAAGTTGATGAGGTTAGAGTTAAGACATATGAATTGAAACTCCGACAATTGAGATTCCTTGCTGTGTATACAAATTCATCCGTCAGTTATAAAGTGTCAAGTAACATACTCGTCCATCTGGTTGGTAACATATAGCGGTTATGACATCTCTGACCTCAGTCCAATCCACAACTCGCTTCTCAGACAATCCCCAAATTCGAACTTTTCCATCTATGGAGCCGCTGATGAAGTAATTGTCATCCACCGGATTGAAGTGGATGCACGTCACTGATCAAATTAGACAACAAACAGGATTTTAATAAATATAGATTTCCGAATAGCAATGTATGTCACTTGAGTTCTCAGGAAAGGAAACACAAGCAAAAATGATAAGAAAACAAAGGACAGTATCTTTACCGTAATTATTGTGGTGAAAAACATTAAGGCAGTCATTGCAACCCAATTGCCAAAGTCGAACGGTTTTATCCTTGGAGGATGAAAGAATACACTGCAGCAGAGCATAAGTTAGGTTCAAACCAAATTTTGCACTCAAAATCTGATAAATTTTCTGACAAGACGACTCACATTTGAGTTGGACCAAGCCAAGTCTAAGACATCGCTGTAATGGCCGCGAAATTCCTGAACGGGAGATTCTTCGATGCGAAAAATCTTATCAGGAAATATGACGGAGGCATGGATCGGATGTTTTCGTTTAAAACTCATGAGTTTTCTTCCATTCGGTTTGCCACAAAGGTAGTTCTCCTCAGCTGGTAAGCAGAGAGATGAATTAGCATCCACCGCCCTCACACGCCACACCCGTACAACCCCATCTTCACCACCACTTGCAAGATACTGACCGTCTGGACTAAACTTCATAGTCCAAATAGGTCCCTTGTGCGCACCAATTTCTTGTCCAAGGTAAGGCGCAGTGAGCTCTAAACACCTCTTCTTCTTCTGCAACACCTTTATTTTAGGTGTTTTGGCAGCCGGTTTTGGCTCTTCAGACACAACTGATCTACTGCTTCTTTCCTTCCTCTTGTTTACAAAGTGCTTCCACCAACTTGTGCTCATATTCTTCATACCATGACGAAAATTTCGACGGCGTTCTTCTCTGTCATGTGAAGACGCAACAGTCTCGCGGGCTAAAACTGCCTTGTGTTGATCGTTTTTGAGTCCGTCAGACACCAAATTTGCTTTGGCAGCCTCTTCTCTTGTAGTGAAACATTCCAAGGCTTCCGAAGGAGAAGACATGTGATAATGAAGCGAAACAGCTCCATTGCTCTCGTCCTTGAGTCTGTCGAAATGCAATCCCATTTGTTCCTCGGACGTTGGAGGGATCTTCTTCATGTTTGGAGAAGCAAATTCAGCCAAACCCATTTGACGTAGGAAGTTATGCCTTCTTTGCTCAACACTAGCAGTAGGCTCATTAACCCAAATTTCATACCCCAACTTGCAGCGGCAGCTGCTACTCAATTCCTCCTCGAAGCGATCCAACGAGTCGAAGAAGATATCATTTTCAGTGTCATTAGAGCCGATCAGCATGTCTTGTGTGGTTTAGACCAAACAAAATTATTCCACATCAAATATAACAACAAACTCTCTCTCTCTCTCTCTCGACTAGCCACAACTTCTTAATCTTATTGCAGGCAAGGCAAGGCAAGGCAAGGCAAGGCAATCTCAATTCTGAGTTCTGAAAGAAGAATAATAAACCAAAAACTAGTTTAGTAGTAGTAGTAGTAGTAGTCCCGCAACTGACGGACCGAGTTTTGCTCCCTTTCTTTAAGAAGACTAACAAATCAGGGGAACAAAAGCCGAGTAAGCCAAATGAATTTAGCAATAAACAAAACTTAAAACAAAATAATAAAAGAATGGGCAAGTGCTAGGAACCAACTCCCAAAACCAAAAGTGACAAGTTAGACAAACCCGTTTTGCAATTCCTAATTCCTCCACGTCCTAGCTTCTACTTGTAATCTAATCTAATATTATAATTATTATAAATAAATCCCCATTTCTCAAATAAAAATCACAGATGATGATAATAATAATAATAATAACAACAACAACAACAACAAAGGCAGAGGAGGAACACAGAGACCCAAAAAAGAAAGCACTTTTTTTTTTTAAATGTTTTTACGTTTGTTTAAATTAAAGGTTGGAACTTGGAAAAGTAGTAGTGTATGTGTGCCTTTAGAATAGCTTTGAGGACAGGCAAAGGAAGAGGCAATTTTCAACAATATCACCGACTCCTCCAGAGATTGTGGCCAAATGTTATGTTATTTATATACATTTATATATAAGTATATAAAAGAGAGAAATTGGCGGAGGAAGGAAAGGTAGTGAAAGAAAGGAAGCAGAGACTCATCAGCAACTCCAACACTTACACAGGCAAAGGCAACACACAATAACTGTGAGTGTGAGAAACCCAGAATCAGATGAGACAAATAATAATATTGCAGTAAAAGTAGTGCTACTTGACAGTTGACCCAATTCAAGTACTGGATAACTTTACTTTACGCACCCATATATTTATTCAAAAAAAATGTTCTCTTTCTTTTTTCTTTTGTTTTTGTTTTATATGGATGAATTAAATTGCGTTTATCAGCGCTACGAGGTAATTAATTGGGTGGGTTAGTGGTTTCGGGAGTTTTTTAAAAAAAAAAAAAAAAAAAAAAGAAGCTAACAAACGATTAATTAATCACAAATCAAAGAAAGACATGAATGAATAAAGGATGCTGCTACTTGGAAGGGCGTGGTAGTAGGGGACACATCCGTCGATATTCTCTATTGTTTTAGCATTTTTAATTAACTTTAAACACAAACAACTTTTAATAACACAGACATTGTGATGTTACTGCTACGGCTCCTGCAATACATGACTAGAGTGTAGAGTAGAGAAAGCGATCATTCACACACACCTTTATCACAGATTCAGTCAAAATTTACGAACTGAATACGCACGCACACGCTCGCTCCCTCGCTAGCTAGCTAGCTAGCTTACTCTCACGCTCTTACTCTTCAAGTAAGCAAACGTGCCACTTAAAATAAATAAAGAAAGAGTGAAAGGGAGATAACGGGGCAATGGGGAGATGGGTGGGTTTTGGATGCGTTTGATACATATTTCTTAGAAGCTTCCAAATTAACGCACTGTCGCTTTCAGCAGACAGTATTCTAATACTAATGACTAAATGCCTGACCATATGTCTTTTTATATACACCAACATTTATTATATATATATAATAACATTACAAACAGCTCATCTTTCTGTTGATTTTGCAAACCGAAATTTTGATTGATTACACGGAAACCATATATTTTGAGGCCAGGACGTGCTGTCCTTTTCTCACCCGTTACCTAAGAATATGTTATACGCTTAAATATATATGTGAAAATACCTAATCATCAATATATGTGTATAATGAATACAGTTGTTTAATGGCCGACACAAGGTGTTATTGTCAAGGTGTCAATACCACGCACGTCACAATTATTTAGTTTTTGGAATTTACTAACCATGGATTTATTCTTAATTCTTTCAATATGTGATATTAGCTGGGTCAAATCTTTGTACATAATTGGAATATATCCCCAATGTAATGAAAATTAATCCCATTTGAGTACACAGGCACTAAAAAGCATGCAGAAAAAGGACAAGCGAATACCGAATCACTCATGTGTCCCAACAAATGAACCACATGCATTCAAATTTCTTCCCTTTCATTTTCCCACATGCGTTGTTCTCTCTTTTTTCCTTTATGTTCTTAGCAAACACACAACAACGTGAATAAGTAAAACAGGACAGTGATAAGGGCTAGACGTGTATAAGCATTTACAATTACTAATATTGATAGACAAAAACAAGGTTGGGTTTATGTATGAAATATGTACCATTGATGTAACTGCCGTAATCAATTATATGACAAAATTAATCTCTCACACACGTAACTATACTTGTATTATATTTTCATATCTTTATCAAGGCTCGTACTACTGAGAAACAACCAGTTAATTCTTAGTTAATTTCCAAATTTTAAAAAAGAAAAATAAACAAACAACTTCTTTGAAATATTTGATCATTTATTTGGCTCTAGCTTAATTATGGAAAATTTCTCATCGGGTTTTTTAGGATGGCCAGCCGGGGGCAATATATGCGATCTTAATTATCAAATTATCATGATAGAAAAACTACTGAATGTACGTAATATTTCTATAAACGTAACCATGCACATTCATTATAGTTAAAACATGAATATCTATTAATTAATTATTAGAATCGATTAACTTCCAAATGTCTAATATATTATCTCCAATTAGCTAGTGGAAAAGAAATTACTATCTACCGTGTTTAATTTTCATGTATAAAAGATTGAGGACTCTTAAAAAACTTTCTTACCAAAGACACAAGTCACAAACATATATTGTATGTGTGTGTGTGTATATAGAGAGACCGTCATATGATATATTGAGATTTCCAATCTCAGATTGTTGAGGATTTTCACATTCCAATCTAATAAACGATTGGACGGACATGTATCGTCGCAGGGCCTCTTGGGTTAATCCCCAAGCAGAACAGACTTTAGTAAGTATTTTTATTTTTCATATTAAATTTTTTATACTGAAATAGTGGTTTTATAATACGTATAAACAATTATAATGTCTTATTATGTAGAACATCCTGGAGGAGGAGAGACAAACGCAGAGAACAAAGTCTACTTCAAGCTCGACTAGACCCGCTTTTGACGAGCATGGGGTTTTGGAGCAAGTTCTTGGCATGCGTAGAGGACATAAGATAGGAGTGGGTCCGACGCTCTCCCAAAAGTATTACTCCGGGGCTTCTCCTTCATCTGCTGGTTCATACTCGGACACAACATCATCTGCTCAACCTGACCCACGTGTGAGTCGTTATTTAAAGAAATCGTACCGGGAACAAGTTAAGATTTATGACAATCAGGTGAATGTGTTAGAGTTTGTGGCTAAATTGCAGCCAAACATCCAATTACCTACAATTGATCATCCAGAACCAGTTGACCTAGACGCTTTTCTGCATCCTTCAAATGATGACAATCCTGATGATGATTCAGCTGTTGGCGATGCTGCAAACTTAGACGATTAGTTCCGTTCTATGTACTATTTTATTTTTCACTTTATTTAGACTTTTATATTTTTTTTTAAACATTATATATGCACTTCATGTAGTATTCATAATATATTTTATAAATTTATTTAGATTTACTATTTTTAATATAATTTATATTTCACTTTTAATGTATCTTAATAGTAAATTAAAATTATTAAAAGTTAATTAATTGCCATTTTTTAAAAATTATAAAAAAAAATTAATTTCAGTTTTTTGCGACGACTTTTTTAGATTTGTCGTCGCAAAAAAAATGAGGTTATTTGCGACGACAATTTGAAATGTCGTCGCAAAAAATTATCATATCACGAGAATTTTGCAGCGGTGTATTAGCGACGCCTGTCGTCGCAAAAACATACTGTCGTTGCAAATACGGTTGCGACGACATAGTGTCGTCGCAAAAAAAGTTTTTGCGACTAATTATTTGTGACAATAAATTTGCGACGACACGTCGTTACAAAAATCGTTGTTTGCGACGACATGCGGGTTTTTACGATGACTTTTTGTCGTCGCAAAAACACATTTTTCTTGTAGTGTGATACCAATGTTCGGAGTAGTAGTCACAACACTAGAACCACGGAAATTGCGATAAAATCCACCACTAATATCTTCAAATTGTGAGGAAAAACTATTTCCTCCAAACCCTAATACACCAACACTAGTAGCCAAAAATCCCTGCAATCTCGGCTTATCATCTATGAAAGATTTGGGATTCTTCATAAAACCTTGCCTTGATCATTGAAACCACCATCAAGGCCGCATCCTCGGGACCCACCGGGGATGGCCGGATTATGCTTATGAATCATTGAAGTCATCCGAACCCCAAGTGGTGACCTATTGAAAGTTGATCCCTCCATATAAATTAATAGTGGGAAGGAATGTATGAATAAGGGTAGTAATTAATAATGGCATTGAGGATTCCCAAACGACTCCGAGGGGCGCCGTTTGGCCATTGCACGCTCTTGTTTGTGTGCGTTTTGATGGCCTCCCAATGCTTGGGAAGTCGAGAACGATCTCTTACAAAAGTTGCACGGAAAAACCCTATTTTTAGTTTCTATAGGTTTCTTCTCACATCAAATCTTGCCCGAAGACTCTATGCTCTTGCTGTTGGCATGAGGTGGAGAACTAGGGTTTATAGACTTGAAAAGATTTAGTTCTACTTTTGATCCGCCTACCGATTTCTCGTTTGAAAGCTTCAGATCAAGAAGAAATTCAGAACTCGATTCGGGTTTTTTTAGTGGATGAGGAGGCTGTGATTTTTCTGTCAATTCCATTTGCGTCTTCCTGTGATCTTCGTATGAGGCTGTAAAAGTGCTTGAAGCCTCTGAAGGGCAAGCTTCTAGAGCAATATGGTCTTCCATGGAAGGAAAAAAAAAAAAAAAAAAAAAAAAAAAAAAAAAAAAAAAAAAAACTAATAACACACTAGATTAAATTAGGGGAAAAACAAAACGAAGAGGAAAATATTGTTGGGTTTTGGCAAAAGGTAGAAGAGAGTTGGTTCTCCTTTTATTGGGGTTTTAAACTCAATAATGCATATGATATTGCATGTTTTGAAAGAGATCTCGTTTTGCAACTATTATATCATGAGCAAAAGAATAGTACTGAAACTATGTTTGATTTCGGTTGGCTAGTTACTCTCAATAAAACTACTTCCATATAAACAAACGAAAGGCTGTGGTTAATTGCTTGTGATCAGGGCATCAACGTTAATATTTTCATGGCCATGGAGTCTGAATTTCATTATCATTAGGAAACATGCATGCATTAAAGTGACGATCGAGCAATTAATTAAAAATTTTAACCAATTATGAATGTTATTGAGCAAGTCTATCGATAATTGAAATTGTCATCCTTTGTCGGTTTCTTTGTTGATGAGTTACGTATATTACATATCGCAAGAATATCATAATACATAATAATATCATAATACATAATAATAATAATAATGAAAAAAATGCCTTCGTGTGAACTTCCTATTTAAATATCGACAGTATAAGTAGATACGATGACGAATCATAAGAAATGAACACGTACGATATTTGATATTTCTTTTATATAGGAATTATAAGCTGCAGGCTGGGTTTTTGATTTGTTTGATGTTAATTCCATTTCAAGCTCGCTCTTTTAAACCTTTTAATTGATGACTAAATATGTATGCCAGCTGCCTAATTCTATCAATGTGTGCTAATTATTATCCTAATGTATACATTAACTGTGAAGTAAATATATTTGATGAGTTAATTCCTCAAAGATAAGTAATTGCATGCATGCATGTTGTACTTCTATGATTTTGTTAAAATCTGAAAGTTATCATGTCATCACACGATCCGCCGGTAAGGCTATCAATACATGACTTGCACAAAATCAGTAATCAACCTTATGATCAATATATATAATTACATACATACTAGTTTTTGTACGTGCAATGCACATAAGTGAAGTTTTTGTACCGTAAAATACAAACAATAATAAGAAAAAAAAAAATTGCTTAGAGATTGAAAAAAGAGTATATGATAAGTGAGTTTTGACTCACTTATTTAATGTCCTGAAATTAGATAATTTGTAATATCTTCAAGTTTTTAGGTTGTTTTAATATGGTTGTGAGTGATTCAGGTAAATAAAGAAAAATTGGATCACTTAGAAGAAAAGGAGATGAAAATCAAGAAAATATCAAAAAGAGCCCAATGCAGAGGCGCAGGCGCGTTCTGATGGCGCGCGCCCGCTCGCCCACATCAGGGAAGCCAAGTCAGAATGGGGCGCACGCCCGCGCCGTCCGAAGCTGCACGCCCATGCCCTGGCCCCTTACGCGTGCCCCACTCAAACCAGCGAGCGCCCGCGCTATTTCAGGCGCGCGGCCGCTCGCTCTCAGGCATGTTCTCGCGTGCTGAGGTGGCCTAAAAGCTAAAACCCAAGGGATTTTTGGAGAATTTTAGCTGGGCCCTGAGGGGAGCAGAGGAGTTAGGGTTTGAGGAGAGTAGACAAGACAGAGAAGAAAAAAACCCTAGTTTTTGGGAGAACTAGAGGAGGAAGCTCTTGGAGATTGGAAGCTGCACTACACTGGAGTTTTATTTTTCTTCCTCTTTTCTCCTCTTGTTCTTAACCTAGTATTTCCTTTATTTTTGTGGATTCATAATGTATTTTCATATTTGTTTAATTTTGAATATGTTTGAGTTTACATTGATGGATTGCTAGATTTTTATGCTAGGGGACTTGATGTAACCTTGCTATGATTATGCTATGAATACTTGATGCTATTTGATGTTTTTCATGCCCAAACATTTGTGCTCTTCTTTGCTTAATGCTTTAATCAATTGAAAGATTGATTAGAAGATTTAGATATGTGGATTTAGGCTTGAGAGAGTCACTTGCACATGTTGGGATTTGTTGAACACAACCTAGTGAGTATTGAAATCGGGAGATGAATATGAGCTAGGTAATCACAAATGAATTAGAGCTTAATGAATGCATAATTAACTTAATTAATAGGGATATTAATTAGGTAATTTTTCATATATTTGACTCGGCACTCGAGAGAGGGAGTTGGATATTTTAGGAAATTCATTATTAATGTTCGGCTTGAGGAAAATCAATAGCATTAAAAAAGATTAGAATAACTAGGCAAGGTGAAATCAAGGACCCTAGCTACCTTATCATTAGAGCCCCCTTCGATCATAAAAACTCCTTGCATTGTTTTATTTGCTTATTTAATTAGTTTAGCATTTTCTTTTTGTTTTGTTGATCTCATTTTTATGTTGGACTTGTCTAGATAAAATTAGGTTATTCTAGTTGCAGTACTTAGCTAGATTTTAGGAACACAATCCTCGTGGGACACAACACTCACTCACTACTTTATTACTTGTCGACCTCGTGCACTTACGAGTAGAAAATAGGTGTTATATATTCGCAGCGATCAGTATACATTGAGTGATAGTACGCCTATCCTAACGAATATTGCACACTTAATTACTCCACTATAAAATGTAGAGTTTAAATCTCCACACTCAATATAAATATATATATATATGTATGTATATTATATAATGGGGGAGTATATGTCAATAGTAATTTAAGTTAAACGGTTATGCTTAATTATAGAATATATGAAGCATTCTAAATTATGAAATAACGAAATAAAAAAATAAAGCATTTAAAACTTAAAAAAAGAAGAGAAAAAGGAAAAGAAAAAAAAGTAAATCACCTAAAATTCACCGTTTTGAACCACCATAAGATGAACATAAATTATAGTATAAAATTAAAAAAAATAAAAGAGTTAAAACTTAAAAATGAAAAGAAAACAATAAACCACCTAAAACTCACTATTTTAGACTATCATACTTAGGATAAACAATAGCCACATATCTACTATTTTATGTATTTAGGAGTCGGATTTAAGATTTAACATGTATAGAAAACAAATTAAAGAAATAAAAGAGCTAAATAAAAGGACCAAAAAAGGTGTTAAAAACAAAAGGAAAAAAATAAAAGAGTTAAAAGAAAAAAAAAAAAGAAAGAGCAAAGAAAAAAAAACACGTTAAAATGGTGCGTAAAAAAGACTAAAAAAAAATGAACCGCATAATTTTCATCCATTTTTTATATATTTAGCATTTAAAATTATAATAATGTAAGATTTAAGATTACGATAAAAAACAAAAAAAAATGTTTACATATGATGGTCCATAATCTCCATTATTCACTAACACGTGTCATTTCTTTTATGTTAAGTGTTTAAAAAGAAAAAAATAGGAACTAGAAAAATAGAAAAAAATTAAAAGAAGCAAGAACAAAAACCATTTAGTGTTGCCTTTCAAAAAAAAAATTCTTAAAAAAAGCAAAGAGCCGAAACATCTTGTTTTGGACGACTAAAAAAGCCAAAGTAGACTATGATGACTCTTTTATATATATATATATATATACACACACACACACGCAGATGGAGATATATGATTTCATTTTATTGTAATTGATATATATGGTAGTTTGTCACGTGATGGGCACATGCAGCGTAAGCAAGTATAGTAAAGTAAAAACTCTGGGTAATAGTAATAGACAATAGTAGAGAGTAGAGACAGAGAGAGCTACAAAACGACACACCAAACACACACAAACACAAAAACAATGGAGGGGTGCGCTTGCTGTTGCTCAACGTCGCCGGCATCACCCTTCCTTTCAAAGCCGTCACAGCAACGGCAGTTATCTGGCTTCCACCGTCTAACTCTTCCTCTGAAACCACCAATTCCACTTATCAGACTCAGACTCAGGGCCACGCTTTGTTCCTCCTTTACCGAAGGCGGCGGCGGCGGCGGAGGAGGAGGGAGAAACGGCGGCGGAGGAGGAGGGAGAAACGGCGGCGGTTGGGATGATGATGGTGATGGTGATGGGTCAATTGGGTCCCTTGGAATTCCCACTGGCTCAATTCTGTTGCTGTCGTTGTTCTTCTGCTCCAGATTGGCCAGAGCTCAATCGTTGTCTTCTTCTGTTTGGGAAGTTAAGGGAGGGAAGTGGATTTTGCTTGTTCCGAATGATTTGGACGACACTTTTGTGGTTGATTCTCTATTTCCATCCACATCTTCAACGAGACCAGTTTCTCCTCTGAATTTGTGGTTGGAAAAATGCAGACAACTGGTGATGCGTTTGATGCTTCCAGAAGGCTATCCTGAAAGCGTGACATCTGATTATTTGGATTACTCTCTTTGGAGAGCCGTCCAGGGCGTCGCCAGTCAGATTAGCGCCGTTCTTGCCACTCAGGTGCCCTAGTCAACATTAACATAATAATAACATTTCTCTGCTTTCTTTTTCTTTTTCTTCTTTTTAATTTATTGTATTTAGCCAATCCATTTGTGTTGTTTGCCTATTCTATGAACAAGATTCATTTCAAAAACTAAAAAGAAAAAGAACCCAAAAAAAAAGAAAAAGTCGTTGCAAGAAAGATTGGAACTTGTTTTAGTTAGCGATTCCTTTGCAGCTCACCAACTCAATGAATTCTGATATCAATGTTATGAATGGCAGTCGTTGCTTTATGCTGTTGGATTGGGAAAAGGAGCAATTCCCACGGCGGCGGCCCTCAATTGGGTGCTCAAGGATGGAATCGGTTATCTTAGCAAAATAATGCTCTCCAAATACGGACGCCATTTTGATGTCAATCCCAAGGGATGGAGGCTCTTCGCTGATCTTTTGGAAAATGCCGCCTTCGGATTCGAAATGCTCACTCCTGCCTTTCCTCATCTTTTTGTTCCGATCGGCGCTGTTGCCGGGGCCGGCCGCTCTGCTGCTACATTAATCCAGGTTGGTGGTTACTCACTTGTACATTGTGTGTTTATTTTGGGAAACTGGATCATGTTCTTAGGAAATAGGATTTTTGTTGAAAATTTGAATTCACTATTTGCAAGGCTGCTACCAGAAGTTGCTTCTTTGCTGGCTTTGCTGCTCAAAGGAACTTTGCTGAGGTCGAATCTTCTTCTTCTTTTTTTTTTTGATTTCTCAATTAATGATATCGATTGTGCGGATTTATAGTATATAGAGGCAATCCAGTTCTATGGAATGACTGGTCATATTGTTGAATTTAGTTAGTATTCTTGTAACTAGGGTGGTTCTTGTTAGTTTCCTCTCTGATTGTAATAATATGAGCTGTAGGTGATTGCTAAGGGAGAAGCTCAAGGAATGGTGAGCAAGTCTATCGGTATCGCTATGGGTATAGGATTGGCTAACTGCATTGGCACCTCTACACCGCTCGCCCTTGCTTCTTTTAGTGTGGTCACTTTTATTCACATGTACTGCAATCTCAAGTCATATCAGTCCATTCAATTAAGGACTCTAAACCCTTACCGTGCAAGTATGTTCCCATCTATCTCTCTCTAGGTTTTTGTCCCATGGAAGTTTCTGTTGTCGTATTTTTTATCTATCTTGTTTCAGTTGGTTTCTACCCTTTAGAAAGCGTTAGTAATTGGGTTGCATAGTGTGACATTAAAAAATGAGAGTATTCAAACGTTGAGCCATAATAGATGCACGTAAGTGACTTATTTGGAATTCAACAGAGTCTTAGACGTTTGTGGCATGGCAAACTATTGAATTATTAAATCTTGGTTAAACCATCATGGACATCTTAGGTGCGTTGTAGTTTTGCATAGGAAAACATTTGCTTCAGGTACGATTTTGCCATCATCATCTTGGTACCCGTTTTTTATTGTAGTTATTGCTGTTTTAACAGGTTTAGTTTTCAGTGAATATCTCCTTAGCGGGCAAGCGCCTCCAATCAAAGAGGTCAATGATGAGGACCCGCTCTTTCCAGCCGTACCAGTTCTAAATGTGAAACCAGTGAACAAAGTACGCTACTTTTCCTTCATCTATATATATTTTTAACTGTTGATCTATTGCGGGGATGAGTGACAAGACTTCAAAATTCAAACTTTTAAGAGTTTCTTGTGAGAGGGTATGTGGTGGAAGGTTTTACCCTTGCAGGTCGGTTTTCAGGAGATAAGGATTGACATTTGCCGTTGAAGTGATCTGTTTGTATGCATCCTGATTTATATACGAACATCTGTCTGTAGGAACAACCAGCTGTACTATCTGCAGAAGCAAAGGTTGCAGCAGCTGAAATCGATAACCGTTTACTGCTGGGATCTAAGCTTAGTGATGTCGTCAACAACCACAAGGATGTGCTAGCACTTTTCGATCTCTATAGGAATGAGGGCTATATTTTGACTGAACACAACGGAAGATTCTGTGTGAGTATCAGTTTTCTGTCCGCATCTCTTTGTAGCAAATGAGCGGAAACTGATGAATAGATTGTTGTTGTTTGTGGATTTGAATGTTGGCATGAAAACAGGTGGTGCTTAAAGAAACTTGCTCACCACATGACATGCTCAAGGCAATGTTCCACGTCAATTATCTGTACTGGTTAGAGAAAAATGCAGGAATTGATGGAGCAAGTCCTTATCTTGACTCCAAACCAGGGGGCAGACTGCAAATATCTCTAGACTATGTGGAAAGGGAGTTCAACCATGTCAAAATCGACGGAGAATCAGCGGGTTGGGCCACAGATGGGCTCATTGCAAGGCCTTTACCCAATAGGATCCGTCCAGGTTTTGTGGCATCCCCAAATTCCACATAGCTGGCCTGATAGATGTAGGCAAATTAGAAGGCATTCTTGGATTCTAAACCATTGAAAACATTTTGGCAAACACCGTACTCTGCAGGTTTTGACAACAGCATACAAGTTCGATGTCACGCGACGCGGTGACGGTGGCGAGATGAAATCCGTCTGACATTCATCCTTAACGTCCCCATAATTATAATTTTGTAACTTGACATTCATCCTACCGTCTTCTTTGCATCTGCATTCTTCCCCGCCTTTGATTGACGCATCTATTCGTGGGTAATTTGTTTAGTCTAGGCCCACACATTAAGGGTAAGAAGTATTTGAGTATAAATACTATATTTATCGTCCACATAATCCGCTAATCTAGATATAGGGGGCAAAATCAGGAGGGAAAAAACTAGCAATACGGGAATAGCATGAAATATGCCATATTGAGTTTGGGAATATTGGTTAAAAACAGTGGCTTTTATGTATTTGTTATTATTATTATTATTATAGATGCTTAATGGGTATGTTACAGATAGGAAACTTTTTATTCTTTCTTCAATAACGTTTGTAAGAACCCAATTGCGTTTGTGTTATTATGTAATGAAGAAAGAACAATATGGTGACTGTCCATGACGAAAGGGAGGCTCAGAAGGCTTGGGCGATTTGGGCTCAAAGTGGCCCAAGGAATGGGTTCAAAGTGGCAGCTAAATTATTATTATTTTTTTCTTTCATTTAAAAAAAAAAAGAGAGAGTAGAAGGTTATTTTTCTTTTTCTGGTCATATCATGAATTTGTTGGAAACTTAGAGATGACTATATATCTGTTTGTACGTATAAAATAAAAGATATTGGTATAATAAATAAAGCTATAAAGAAGAGGAAGAGCGAAGCAGAGTGAGCGCTCAGAGTTACTGAGATTTTAATTAAATGATCGTATTTATTGGTTTTGCAGCAAATTAAATTCACAGTCCCACACGTAAAATTTTCTACTTCTCTTCGTAGCCTAATCATAAGGTCCTACCTACTGAGAATCTACAACTGACAAGAAGAAGAAGAATAATAATTAACAAAAATGACATTTATTTTGAGAGGAAAAGTTATTCCCGTCCGATAAAAACTCATCACTCACAAAAAAAATCATCTTATTAAGATGGGTTTCACCTATAAACTTAATGAGAGCTACTCGATTTGTATAGAAGTGCTCAAGAACTAATAGGAGTTGGAGAAATTCTATTTGTAGAGGACCGTACGGATTTCGTGCTCTAAGCGCCTATTCACTACGATAGAATTCTCCGATATACTTTTTCAGTTTTACATCATTTTAGTTACAATTAGTATAAATAATATGGAGTAAGTCGAAAATCTGAGTATGATGCAAAAAGAAAAGAAAACGAAAGTGTGGTAATGCCTCAGCTAACGCGTCGTCTGGTAGGGTGGATGCCTCAAAAAATAGGCTTGATCAAACACGAAAGTTGATCAGCAATTGATATAGATAAATTCGCTTTAGAATGCATAGTCTTAAGGCCGGGCACGTTTGGAAGTGCTCCTTAAAAACTGTTTTTTACTTTCTCGGTTTAAAAGTTGTTTATGAAAGTGTTTAAATGATATGTCCGAAGTGATTTGACTTTTCAAAAAAAAATTTTAGTCAAAATCAGAAATTGTTACTTTTAAAAAAATAACTTCTACATGGACTTTGAAACTTATGTTTAATTAAAACATTATAAATTTACTTCCAACACTTTTATTGCTTACTAAAAAATTTAAAAATCATTTTGATCCATTAAGCTCTTTATTTTAAATAGTTATTGAAAAGTCACAGCTTTTGCTTCTCTTTTTCTACTGGTTAAAAGCAAAAGCAAAAGCTCTGCCAAATGGATCGTAATTGTCTTTAAAAAGTTATTTTTGGCCTAAAAGTTGTGTTTTTAAGCTGTTTGGATGGACAATAGTAAAGTGGTATTGGCTTTTAAACTCTTTTAGAACAAGCCACCTCCTAGGTTCTTATGAAAAGCTTTTTTAGTTACCTTTTTAACCTTTTATTTGTAAACAACAAATTAAAAATTCCATCAATATCATTTTATTACATTACTTTCTGTAATAATAAGAGCTTTTGACTTATGAATAGTGTTAGGGACACCAATTTGAATCTCAACTATTGTGTATCAATTAACGTGGTATGTGAGTTATCATTTTTTATTAGTAGATGCAATCTCTTATTATTAAATGTGGTAATGTTTTAAACACTCACCGATATTAAAATAACTCATATGCTACATCAGTTGGTATACAAAAATTGAGATTTGAGTTGGTGTCCTTAGCATTATTCTTGACTTATTTACCAAATATGTTCAAAAGCTCTTTTTCATGCACTATCTAAACAGTTATCAAAAAGTTCTGACTTATGCTTTTATTCTTCTACTACTAAAAAGTAAAAGCACAAACTCTCCCAATCGAGCCTTTAGATTTTTACACTTCACACTTAATTAATATCATTTAGTCAAAGAATATATTAATCAAAAGGATACTAATTAAGAGTAAAAAATAAAAATCTTAAAATGATATTTAAGGGTGAGTTCAAATGTTGGAACAAAGCATTATTGGTAAAAAAAAATAAAAAATAAAAGGGGTGACTGTTGGTGGTGATTTCTCAACATCGACAACCCCCCTCCCCCCCTAATTTCTATCTTCATGGTCGCTCTCTGCATTGCATTGGGGGCATGAAGATGTTACTAAACTCCGTGACACAACAAAATGGATAGACCGAAATTTTATTAACCTAACCTAGACAGATGATTATCAAATCCACCTAAAAGAACCTCACAAAGAGGAAAAACCCCTAAATTAGAGAGAAAACACAAGTCTAGTATTCAATTGTCAATTATCAAAGTCCCCTAATACAATTATTAATGCTTCGTTCACTTTGCAGATTCAAATTTTCAATTCGAGCTGAGATGTGACATTTTCTAAGAGCTTTTTACTGTTGCAGAAAAAGTTAGATGTGATATTTTCTAAGAGCTTTTTACTGTAGAAACCTAAAACTAAAAACTCAAATCGGTGAAATGAACAAGGCCTAAGTGGCTATTTATAGCTCACATAGAAAACGATAACAAAATAACAACTACGATAAACGACTACTAATAGCAAAACTAAAGCTAAATAAAAAAACTAGAACAAATGACAATAAAATATAAAAACTACTGATAATAGCTAAATCTCCCTACATCATCCCGGCACTCGATTCATAGTTTTGAGAATAAAGAATTAATAGCAGTAGTGTCAGCAACAAAGTAGGGTTTATTTTATGAGAAGAATTCGTTTGCGTGTGAGTCTACTATCATTGATGTAGTATTATGTAAGCAATTAGTTAATAAGGAAATTCCTAGCTTCATATTCCAATCCTCTTAGAACTTGGTCTCGATGGAGTTTATTATCTCAATCTTTGAGACAACATTTGAGCATGTCGATTTCGTATCAACTCGTCAAAGATTTCGAGGTCGATCATTGAATTAGAGAGCCTCAAATTCAATTTGAACTTGAAGAAGGGCGAGAACAAAGAACAATAATTGGTAAACGACATGTGTGTGCATAATGGATGATGGACATATTGGGATGCAGCAGAACAGAAGCATGCAGCTTTCATGTGACTAGTATTTGGCTCCGCTTGCCCTTTGTCTTTTTATTTCTTTTTCTACAGTCTTAACACAGACAAAAGTGAATAATGAATGAATTGAGTTTTGTCATTGAAATTGGAGGAGGGCATGGGATGGCCCAGTTGGATGTAAAATATTCTTTAGTTAATTAACACATAGACATTGACTACTTTTTGGCTTATGTCTAAATCACTCAATTAATGTCTCTATAGATAACAAACACTAACAAATCAGCCAGGTTCCTTCTTCTTCTATATACAATCAGATTCATTTTCATTTCATGCTCACCAGACTGGATATGAATCAGTCATTTCCATACACACTCCCTACTTATAATCCTATATTTCACTTGAATATATACCATGTTATTCAAAATCACTCTTTCAATTCAATCTTTACGAATTTCGTCTTCACTCTTCACTCTTCACGAGGTGGCAAATATATATACTAATGGGAACAAGACACGCACACATATATCAAACAGGAGTTGCTTCATCTGCGAATATATAAAAGAGATAACGAGTGAACGCACATTAATAATTAGATAGCAAACACGGACGTCACTACTGTTTCCCCCTTTTATTTCACGAGAGAAAAAGGCAGATGGCAAATACGTGTTATTAACAAGACATCCAAAAGGAAACGTTAACGACAAAACTTAGTTGGAGTTGCACACTCTACACTCCTTTTTTTTTCTTTTTTTTTTTTTGTTTGGGTCAAGGTCAAGGTCAAGGTCTCAATTAATATTATTTCAAATAAAAAAAAAGGTTTTCACTTAATATTTAAAAAACATTTGAAGAAAAACAGGAAAACTAATGATAAAAGGAAAGAGTTGTATTTGAGTTTGAGAATTGAGATACAAAAAGCAAAGCAACAAAGAGAAGAGAAGAGATGAATAAATTCTAAAAATGAGTTGTCGAAATGCATAATAAATTGGTTCACAGAGCTGAAAAGAGTTAGTGCACCCACTGACAAAGTACCAGAGTAACCAAGAAAATAAAATGACATATATTACCCCCCACAAAAGAATAAATAAATAAATTTAAAAAAAAAAAAAACACTCCACAACCAAACAACTAACAATTTGCATCCTCTTCACTTCTCCCAATAATCATTATGCCACATCCCTCTTCAATTCGAATGCAATTGCAAGAGGAGAAAGAATGGAGAGAGAGAGGGAGGGGCATTTGCAGAGATTGAGCAAGATAGAGGTGAAAGGAGGTTTTTCTTTTCAGTTTTGAAAAAATAGAGCGATTGAAAATCAGATCTGGGTTTCAATTAACTCAAACAACAAGATCGGAACTGAGAAATTCTGGGGCTCGATCGGGATCTCAATTTACAATTTCTCCTACAACCAAACAATCAAGATACGAAATCAAGAGTCATATACCTGCAACGCCAAAGAAACTAGAAACGAACTAGCCAAACAAAAGAAAATTAGCAAAAAGTAAACTTTGTTGAGAAAAGTAAGAGGGGATGGGTTGAGATCAGAAGACCTTTTTTTTTTTTTTTTTTAATAATTTTTACTTGTTGAAGAAAAACTCTGTGGGTTTGCTCAAGAAGAACGCTGAAGGCTCTCTCACATCACAAACAATGAAAAATACTCCTCCGCATCTAAGCTTATTGTAACATGAATGCACCTGATTTTTTTTTTTACCTTTCGATGAAATCTAACGTAGTTGTTTTCTTTTTTTTTTTAGAAGTCCAAGTTTGCTACTTTTTACTAAAACGCCCCAATTCCATTAAAAATTTAACAAAAGGGGAAATTTTGCAAGAGTTATGAAATTTAAGAGAAACACATGTTACAAATTGAAGTTTAAGGGACATTTTGTGACAAATGCCATAATTCAAAGGGAACCGTATAATTTGTCCTAATTAATAATATATAGTTACTTGGAATAAAAAAAGATTAAAGATTGGAGGTGGGGGTTATAGAAAACTTAAAAATTAATGATAATGATAATGGTGGGTGCATTCTCAAGGGCCTATCTTTCTAGTTTGGTTATTATAATTAATTAAGTAACTAATGGTTATAGGGATTGGAGGAGTGGTCAAACTTGTATGATCTTTCTCTGCTTTTAGCACATTTCTTTATCGATTGGGATTCCAATCTTTTTCGCTTCCTTCCTGCTATCAAACAAAGTTTCGTCTCTTAAATCAAACAAAACAAAACAAAGCAAAGAAAAGAATATTAACATCACACTCAGCAATGCAATTGCAACAATTTCAGCAATTTCGGCACCTTGTCTCTCTTTGCCACATTTCTTTTGCCTATTTTTCTTCCTTCTTTTCATTTATCTCTCTAGTCCCTAGTATTAGTATCTAGTTTAAATATCTTCTTAATTAGAATTAGGGGCCTTTAATTGTCTAATAAACAACAACAGACGACTATTCTATAATTAATATTTGTTTGCAATCCCAAATCAATTCGTGATCAGCGTGTTTAGCTTAGGCTCGTCTAAGAATTTGGGGGAAAAAAAAAAAAAAAAAAAAAAAAAAAAAAAAAAAAAAAAAAAAAAAAAGTAAAACGGCAAAATCTAGACAGTGGATTCTCTTCAGTCTTCTCTTTATCTTTATCTTTATTGAATGGGCTTGGCCCAGCCAGTCAGCCACACAAACTCAGAAGAAGAATGAAGACAAAATCAAATTATTGCTGCACATTACAGAAAGAATACAGAAGCACTCGCACCACTACATACCAATTACAAATTACAAATTACAAACTACAAACTACAAATTACAAATTACAAAATTACAATACAATACGCCATGGCTTGTATCACCGTACCTTCCCTTCCAACAAATAAAGTAGAGTAATTTTTTTCATTTTTTTTTTCCCCTTTTCTCTTAAACTCCGCAGAACCGAAGACTAACTTATTTTTGCTTCAAGTAATACACAAGAAAGAATACGAATTTAATAGGATTTGTGACCTGGCTTGGGAAAGAGAAAATTTTTAATCAAGCCATTGATTGATAACTTGGTTCTTAAGAAGGAACTATACAGAAATCAAAATGAGATCAAACCACAAACAAAATGAAAAATGAAAAATCCAATAATATGTACAGGAAAGTGTAAAGTTTAAAAAGAAGAGCTATAGTCATAAAAATGAAAAATGAAATGAATTTGTCCTTTGTTGTTGTTGTTGTATTTGTTCACTAACAAGTAACAAAATTTGGTTTTTGTTTTTGATGATTTACAAGAGCTTAGGAAGAGAGTTGAGAACAATTTAGAAAGGCGTGATATGAGTAGTGTTGGTGTCATAAGAGGAAATGAAGGATGTTGAATTGGAGGAGGTGAGGCGGAATATCTTAAGCAAATCGGCCGACATTTGTCTGACAGCGGGCGAGCAATTTGTCTGCATCAGAAGTAGAATTTTGGTGACGCCGTTGGCCTTCACCACCGCCTCCTGAGCCGCCCTGTTCCGGTGGACATAGCACACGCCCCAAAGCACTGTCACGGCGTGCTCCGTCGCCGCACTCGACACCTTCATAAGCCTCTGCACTACTCTATCCACCACGCATTCACGCTCTGATCCGCAGATCTCCGAAACCCCTTCCTTCACCGACGAAACCCTCTCAAGCAGCCTCAGCACTCTCTCCGTCATCGACACGCTCAGATTCTGCTCTTCAAGACATTTCCCCAGCGACTTCACCGCTCCTAGATTCACCAGCTTCACCTTCACTCTTCTCGCCATTGATACTGCGATCAAGCACGACAATCCGGCTTCCATTAGGCTCCGATCCTTCTCCGGACTTATTAATTTCAGCAATTCCTGCAGAACCTCTTCCTTCTCCGCGATTATCAGCTTCGACTCCGCGTCTACCGCGATTGCTTCCAAAATCCTAGCCGATCCGATTCTCGATTCCACGCTACCTCTCTGCAGAACGCGGACGAGAGACCGCAGGCAGTGGCTCTGCTTCAGCATGGACGTCGCGAGCTTCTCCGTGTCTGCAATCTCGCTGCGGATCATGTCCAGAGCCCGGACCGCCAGCTCCGCCAAATCGAGGCTTCTGGAAGCTCCGTCACCGGCATTGGCGAGTAATTCGACCAGCGTCGGGACGAAGCCGTCGGCTCCGGTGAGGAATCTCCGGTTCTCGTCGGAGTCCCTGGCGAAGCAGACGATCTTCGAGAGAGAGTCGAAGGAGGAGTCCGAGTGGCGGTCGAGGCGGCGAATGAGGCCGAGGACTTGGTCCTGAGAGAGGAGTGGCTTCGGAGGAGAGGACTCGGGCGAGTCGACACGGCGTTGGACCGAGTCGGACCAGATCTGGATGAGTCGGTGGAGAGTGCGGTTGGGGACGAACTCCTTGGTGTGGAGGACCTGCATGGTGGCGGGGCAGGTGTTGTTGCCGTCGTCGAGCCATCTCTGGATGCTTGAGCGGTCGTAGGTTACTCCGGTGCACAGGCTCACAGGGGATTTCATGACGTCAAGAGAAATCGGGCACCTGAAGAAGCTGGGGACCGTGATGTACAGGTCGTCCCTCACCATCTTCGCTGCGGTTAGCTGTCTGTTTGGAGGGCGAGAAAGCTGGACGGGAAACTGAGAGAAATGAGAAAGAAACAGGATAAATGGATTGTTCAGTCAGGAGAGGAGATGAAGAAGACAACAGAGTGGTGCGTTTAAAGCGGAAAGAGGAAGGGGCAACAAAAAATAAATGAAAAAAGAGTCAAAGGTACGCTGACGTCAGCTTTTTACTTTTTTTCCCCTGATTTATACATTAATCATCCGTATTTGTTTAAACTGTTTTGCTTTAAAATAATAAATAATATTCTGTGGCTTTGGTTACTGGTCAAATGAGGACCAGTTTGCGTAGCTGTTTCCCGCGTATTGTTACGTATAATATGCTTACGAGCTCTCCCGTTGGATTGTTCGTGGAGCTGGAGTTTTTTGGCCGTAGTGAGAGCGGACGGCTGGGATTAAGAAAGGGTTACACGTGGGGTCGAAGTTAAAAAGGCCGTATAATGAGGGGAAGGAGAACGTGGGGGTGCTGGGACCACTCAGCAATGAATTGAGTTGAGGTCCTTGAGGAGACTTTTTTTTTTTTTTTACCCTTAATTTTGTCTTTTAAATTTCTTTTTTTTTTTTTGGTGGTTTCTCGGCTTGAATATGGGGCCCATGGGCCCACGGAGGGTTCACTTGGTCGGAGTCATTGCATCATTTTTGTACGTTTGGAGGAGAAGACCAAAGAGGAGAGGATACACATTGCACAGAAAGGACCTTTTTGATTTTGTGCGTGGATTAGACATTAATTTATTTTTTAAGATAATACAAGATTAATTAAGGTTTTTGTCTCGTCCCTTCTCTTTATTATTTTTGTTTTCCCTCTCAAGGTTCAAGGCTGGACTGAGTGGAGACCCATCAAATCAAGGATTATATATAATAAATAAGAAAAAATTTGAAAATTTAAGGAGTTGTTTGGTTGGGAGATTCGTACCCTAATTTGAATTATGATTCGTGGTTCGTTATAGTATTTTTTTTCATAAAAAATACACGTAAATTAAAAATAATTCTAATATCATGATTCTAATCTATGAGTCTAGATTCTTACGTCTCCTAAATGTATGAATCTAGATTTTTATTTTTTATTTATAATAAATACATTTTTATTAATGTAATTAATGGATAATTTTAATAAATACATTTTGAAAGTGTATACATCAAGATTTTTATCTTTTACTCTGAATTCACAACATTTTTAGTCAAATAACAAAATGATATTTATCAAGAATAAAGGGTAAATGTCTAGATTCATACACTCTCAAGAATAAATTCTTTATTTCTTCATAATTATTTGATTAAAAAATTATAAATTAAGAATAAAAAATAAAAATTATAAATCGTGTACTTTTAAAGATATTTATCAAGATTACCCTATAAATAATGAAATGAGTTATTTTGTTAGTGGATATATCTTTCTAATAAATAATGAAATGAGTTATTTTGTTAGTGGACACATCTTTCTAATGACAAATGTTTTTATTATTATTATTATTATAATTAAAAGTGTTTTCTGTAACCATTACTAATCGAATAAAAAAAAAATCAGACATTGTTCATTTTACAATTTAATTACAACTCAAAATTTAGTGTTACAATATTTTTTTTATAAAAATTTAAATTTAATTTTTTTATTATAATATTTTTCTCTCACACACACAACTCAATATTTATCAAGCCATATTGTTCTTCTTATGATAGAGTGTTAGATTGTTTGGACATTGACCTCTTTTACAGCTATATGCCAAATCCAATACGCGATCAAAACTTGGGTATGAATTATTACACTCAACCCCCACCAATCAAATACTAAAAACATAATTTAATCTACCAGTGGTAGTGGCAGAACTTTACCCCAAATCCCAGTTTGATGCTTAACGTTTAAAACATCTAAAAATGAACCTCATCTACCTTCGTTTTGGTAAATTATATCTGCACTAAAATTTAGATGAAATAGATCACTCGCCATACATGTGACATGTAGGTGGGGTAAAATGGATAAACAGTTCAGTGGCTTTAGAGCAAGATTAATCGATTGAAAAAGGTTAGGTACATATTATGTCCTTGGCATATTCCATCTAGTTTTTCACTAAAGAGTATGATATAACATAAGATATGATACTGATAGTGCTACAAGGTATTAAACCCACTTTAAACTGTCTACCATACACGATTCAACCGCGTTTTCTGTCCTATTTTTAATAGTTAGAATGATTATTCTATCGTACCAAGATAGATCGAGACCAGTTTTGTAACATTTTTTTTGTCGGTTTCATGAAATTCAATACAGGGTTAATTATATGATATTGGAAGTATAGATCCCACTTTTCTATTGTTTAAGTTAAGAATAATGCTAAGGATACGAATTCAAATCTCAACTCTTTTGTCCCAATTAATATTGTAAATGAGTAGTCATTTTTACATTAGTGAGTGTTTGAAACATTATCATGTCAATTAATGATAAAAAATTATATTTACTAATAAAGATATAACAATTCACATGCTATGTAAATTGACACATAAAAATTAAAATTTAATATTTGAGTTGATATCCCTTAACATTATTCTTAAATTAATATTTATACGTATGTCAACCCCGTTAATAGAAGAATTTTTTAGCATTACCTCCCATATGACAGACAGATGAAGTTTTAGTTTACTCATACAGCATATATAGAAGGTTCAAAATCATAGCCATTCATTGCATACCAAAGTGGGGATTTTTAGTTCTACTGCCATTCAAAGGGAACAAACGCGCAAAAGTAGATATGAACCTAAAAAGATTTTATTCATATATTAAAAAAAAAAGCCATCCAAAGTGACTCCACAACTAAATATTGTCCTCATTATTATTTTTCACATAATCACCCTCCTCCTCCAATTCTAGTTCACTTCTCTTTTACTTTTATATCCATTGGTAATATAATTTTTTGACAGAATTTCAATATGATCATTTTTTTCGGAGAAAAACAGACAAGTGGGTTTTCTGTGAAGGAAATTATACATTATGCATAATGTGTTTTAGTGGAAGCAAAGCTAGTTAGCAGAGGCCTCATGAGAAATCTAGAGCCGTTTAATTCATAAATTAAAATTATTTTTAATTTATGTGTATTTTTTATAAAAAAAATATTATAATAAATAATAAATTATAATTTAAATTAAAGAATAAATTCTCTAGTGTCTAATGTCATCATAATTTTTCTTATGTAAGAACAAAGAAATATATAAAATGATTTCTGATGAGAAATCATTATTTTGAAGAACGAGGCAAGTATATGATGGCACCGAAAGTGTGCACATATAGCATTAGCATAGCAGGAGCATAATTTCGTTTCCCAAAAAACACTTTTACTCATACCCACCCGGGTCTTCATAATGGATGACCCTTTATCCAGCTTTATCGATTTTCGCCCATATTTCACTATTTTCCAATCAATTAGACGAGCGGGAGAAAAAAAAAAAAGAGGGGCACATCTCTCTATTTATCTTACAAGTTATTCTATTTTATTTTTATTTTTTACTGCTTTAAAACGTAGGGGGTTAAAAATGGAGTCAAGTCTACATTTTTTTTATTTTATTAATTTAAATTTAAATTTTAAATTTTATTATAATAAAAAAATTTTAAAAGTAATTGTATTTAACTCTTTTATTATAATAAAAATTTTAATTTTTTTATTACAGTAAAAAATTTTCACATAAAATTATATTTTCATTTGAATTAAAAATTTAAATTAACAAACTAAACGGACTCTAATTTTATTATTAATAACAATTTTCTGTCCCAATCCCAATTTTTTTAATAAAAAAATATATTTTAAAATATGAAAAGACAATACAATTTCTAACCACGTAAACCTCCCACTACAAAAAAAAAGCGACATGCATTGTCGGTTTTATTAGTAAACTCAAAAGAAGGTCAAAAAGAAAATAATATATATCGAATTCTACAAGTAAAAAATACTTAAAAAGACATACAAAAGTATTAAACATACACATAATTTTTTAACAGATCCTCTATAATCGATAGGAAAATTCGATTGTAGTGGACCAACTAAAATGGGGTTAAGGTTAGAAAAAACAAAAGCGTGGAAAAAAAATATATATATATATATATATATATA